AGAGTAGTTCTGTATTTTTATCTGTTTTACAAATCAAGCTTCCAATTACAATTTAATTTTTATAAAAAGGCAGGTTCAGGATATTTTTCTGAAGAGTTGAAAATAAAATGACTAGATGAATTCATGAGATAGAATTTTGTTTTATAAAATAGAGTGCATTCACATAGCTCACACTGTCTAATATAAACAGTACCAACAATTAAATGTATAAGTAAAACAGAAAAACTATATCTGTGGGTTTACAATCCAGTAGTACTGAATAAACAAGCAACAAAGCTATGTCAATATCACATGCTATTTTGATCATGACCTGCCTTCATCCCCCAATTAGAAAAACCTTCCAAATCTCTCCTTAGATCACTGATAAGGAAAGAATACTATGTTTAGATAACTAAACTATATCAATTCAGAATCTAAATTTTACAAATATTGATATAATCTCATTCTCAGTAAAACTGCAAATTCTTATAATGAAATATTTAAAAGGGAAAACACCATCACCCTTATTTTAAGATTTTTCATTATAATTTCCTGGACAGTCAAAGCATTCTCTACTGAACTAAAAGTATCATTAACTTTATGCATATTCCTTTAAAAGGGATATACTATTTGTTTATTTTTGCTCAATTTTCTTATGTTTTCTTTTTTATTCAAGTTCTAAGCCACTGCTTTTACTAACATCAAACAACTGCTTGATATGTCCTTAATAAACTGGTGCTGAACTGACTGAAATGAAGTTATTCCTAAGGTAGGACACCAATATACTGGAGAAAATGCAAGCAAGAGTGAGGGAAAGCTGCAAAGCCATCTCTCCCACTTTAATCATGCTGTGGCACTTTATGGACCCGATTTATAACTGTTACAAAACTAAAACATATTAACTCATCTGCTCCTCCCAACAAACCTAAAAGGGGGTGTCATTTTACTCTCCATTTTACAGCCAAGGAAACTGAAAGACAGAGCCATTCGATAACTTATCTAAGGTAACATAGTGAGTAAGTGCCGGAGCAGGGATATAAACTCAGACAGCCCAGTGCTTTTCAAACCTTAATGTATATACAATTCACCTGGGAATCCTGTTGAAATTCAGGTTAGGACTCAGTGCTTCTGCAGTGGGGGAAGGCGAGATTCCAACAATCTCACCTATGATGCAGATGCTGCTCGTCTGAAGATCACTCTTTGAGCAGCAAAGTACTAGTCTATGCTAAAAAATGATGAAAAGTGGTAATAACCCTCAAACAGAGGTAGAGTTCATCCACAGACAGAGGGTTATGACTAAATCAAGGGTTTCTAACTTCTGGTTTAGAACTTAATTGCTCCTTTTATTAATTATTTTTAAAAAGAAGGAAGTTAGCAAAATGTGCTTTCAGGTTTTGCACTATGAACATATTAATACTCTAACTTGATACTGTAACACCTCCTTCCAATAAACCTTTTCCACATCCAAAAACTATTTACAAATGTCCCTGAATATCTACTTTAACATAAATTCAATCTGAACAAATTAAAGAATATTTTAAGAATGTATATTTGTCTCATATATATGGGAAAAAGTAGAGTTTGAGTTTAAAAATTCAGCACCTTTCTGTATTTTTGTCACTTGTACAAGTGATAACTGAGGGGACAAGAACACACTTTGGGAAACAGGTGGAACCTAAATGTCTGAATAGCACCTCACTCAACAATTCTAGTCATTAACTTTCTCTAAAAACATATGGAAATGCCCAAAATACAATTTCCCCTCATTCTCATCAACTATTTATACCCTAATCTAGATTATAGTATGTAAAGAGTATAAATTGAAGCCACAAAATATTATGCCTTTGTTGAGGATGCTTTGGCCTTAGGCACTTCAATACCTAAAAACTGAAATGCCATCTAATCACTGGAAATAAACAGTTTAGCAAACTTTTATACTCTCAGGAAAAGAAATACTAATACTCTCAAAATATATTCAAACAAGTTTAAAGCCACACACATAATTCAACAATTAAGTCTACTTTAAGATCACCCTGAGTGTATACAATATAGACATGGCTAGATAATAACTAAAGAATCTTTTATTAATTCAACATAGAAAATGATTTAAGAGAAATCTTAGTCTGAATAATTTTGATTTTGTTGAGTTTTCTTGTATTTCATTCAACATTTTCCTAAATGTACACAGATATACTTTCTTTTCTTCCCTGAGGAACAATTAAATCTGTCACATACTTTGACAAACTTGTAAAAATCATATTCAAAACTATAATGGAACTCTGATTAACTACACATGTAAGTCAAAAGAATTAGGTTTCATTGATTTCAATCAATATGAATTCACATGTGCTAGAATTTATAAATATAGAATCCCATTTTTAATAACATAAATGAAGAAATTTAAACTATATAATCATTATGAAGCTAAAATTCTCACTGATGACCTTGCGAATTACAAGAACACTAGCAATGTGTCACATACCTGACATGAGTAAAAAATATAATACAAATTTGGACTTAGCTGTCAAAAATCCTAAAATGTCTCCACTAAACACTGAATATTCCAAATTCCTGGACAACGACTGGATATTCCACCCAAAAGAATCTTAAGACATATAATGAAACACACAAAAGTATCTGGATATTTTTGTCAGATGGAAGACTGTCCCCAAACTACCAGTCCCCTACCAAGACTCGTATTTCCTGTCTGTTTTTGCTTTAATCAGTCAGTCACAAAGAAATGCATACAGGGGTGGGCAAAAGTAGGTTTACAGCTGCAATACAAATAATACTTAAATAATAATACAATAAACTGTATTTCACATACTCACAACTGTAAACCTACTTTTGCCAACACCCATATACTAAAAGAACTAAAGAACTGAAAGATGTCATTGCAATAGTTAATGGTAAACATAAGTTATGACAAGGGAAATCAAAGATGATGTATTCCATGTTATCGCTCACAAGCAAGCCCAAAGGTTTGCTACTTCACTAGTCTGATCATTAAATGTGAAGCGTTCACGAACTGCAATGAAAACAGAAAAATAAAAGAGAAAAATAAAAACAAGTTAACTTTCTATCTCCTAGAAAGATTCTACTTCCTCTAAACTAATCCTCAGTGACCACGTGGAACCATTCCTACGTTAAACTGTACAGCACTATTCCTTCAGCAACTGCAATGCTGCACTACTGCTCTAAAGACATTCAACACATGTCTATTGGGCTCTCTAGTTTACGCGAATACACTAGTTTGGGCCATTTGCAGAAAAGAACCAGAAACCTTTCAAAATGTTTGACCTTATGTGCCATTTTAAAACACTGAAGAGTTTTGAATGGACAGCGCTTTGCATCTTTTATAATAGGAAATACCAAAATACACTGCAATTTAAGTGATTCTTCAGAGAGCAAATTTAACTTGACCCCTCCCTAAATGGCTACAGATTTGACATACCATTTAGACACCTAAAAATATTTTGATTTATTTATCCATTAAAGCAGTGCTGTTCAATAGAAATACAATGCAAACCACATATGCAATATTAAAATTTCTAATAACCACATTAAAATGGTAAAAAATAAAAGTGAAATTAATTTTAAATCAGATTTCATATAACCCAATATATACAAAATATTATCATTTCAACATGTAATAAAAAATGTTTTTAAATTGGTAAGATTATTCTACATACTTTTCTTTGTACTAAGTTTTCAAAATCCGATGTGTATTTCACACTTATGGCATATTTCATTTTGGACTAAAGTGAAGTGGTCAACAGCCACAAGTGGCTAGTGGCTACTACAATACTGCACAGCGTAGGTCGTAAGTAATACTTTCAGATCTGACACACCACTATCTGTTTAAAATTATTTTGCATTCTTGTTTCCTTTTGGAACTGAAATAGCTGATTACAAATATAAGCAAAACTGTTAATCCACTGGATAAATCGGGATCCGATCACCTTATCCGAGGATCCGGTTAATACACACAGAAGGAAGCAATTGGATTGTACCCTATTATATCTCAAACATACTTCAGAGATAGGTCTCATCATCACAAGTGAACACAACTTGTAGCAAAAATAAAGGTAAGACAAGAAAACATTCTCATATCAAACCATAACACTGCCTTATTTCTAGCAGCCACTCTCACTCTTGAGCACATATCTCTATGCAAGTTATCTACGAGACTGTTCTTTCTAAGTTTGATGAATTTTAAAAACCATAAAGTCACTACTGAAAAACAAAGCACTAAGTAAGAGGAATTGAAAAAATGTTTCAAGGAAAAAAATTATCCACCAGTTATCTTAATGCACCTTTTATCAACCAAGAATCTTAAATTGTTCTACATGAGTTTCACTGATATAAATTCTTCCCACAAATTCCAATTCATCTAACTGCTTCTCATACACATTATTTCAAGTACCTAAATTACTAAGAATTCTTCCAAGTAATTAGGACATTTGATTAAAATGTAAATAATTCCAACAATATACTGTCTAGAAAACAACTAAAACCATTAGCTTAGCACATGAAATTTGTCCTTACGGCAAGTTAATGAATAAATCAAACAGAAACAACTTATACTCTTATTTACTGCATTTACATTTTATAACACATTCGGTGATTTCTAAATTTGGAAGGTCAGTTCAGATTGCACACAAGCAGTAACTTTAAAGCTCAGGAAAAACTGTAGAAGTTTCTGCAATATACTTCTGAATAAACACACTCTACAGAAATACTACAACAGAAAAAAAAATCAGCACCGTTCAAATCAATCTCAGTAAAAAGCACAAAATCAGTACATTCACAAGTCCAACATGTATATATAACATGCTAAAACGCATTTTTTTCTCCCAAATGTACTTAATTCACCCTAGAAAATGTTTGTTTAATCCACTTGCAAAGCTGGAAAGAAGCAAATGTAGCCTCTTCAGCAGCACACACATCCAAGGACGATACATCAATCTCTTGGTATTTTTCCACAATTTGAAATTAAATCAACAAAATTTGTTTCTTACCTGCAGTTAGGAGGAGGATCAAGGGTTATTTCAGCTAGCTCCTTCTGAATTCTGTTAGTGAAATGAGAACAGACAAAAAGGATTTGCGATAGTCTACAGAATAACCGGGGAATTACACTGCCCTCTACCACCATGCAGTTAAATGCAAGGCTGGCTTTGCCTTCAGTAATGCTAACATGGCTGCTTCCTCTTTGTTCTCAGAGGCATAACCCAAATCCCTTAACAGAAACTTTGCAGCTTTTTTTCTCACTTGCTACTGTAAATAAATAAGACATTTACACCTGTTTTGAGAAATAGTCCTCCAATAGCACTCAGTAAAGGATCTAAAATCTGTTTTAAAACACTTTTTACCAAAGAAATTCTCTTTTCAAGCTTATATGCAAATGAGACAAGAAGGGAGGAGGGAAAGCATTAGAATATTTGACAATGACTTCCAGTCACTTTTACCAAGGTAAAAATTAACAAGCTACTGCTCTTACACATTAATAGTGCTGACAGTATTTTATCTGTAAAAAAGAAGTTTAAAATTTACAAATGTCTTTACCAGTGAAAAACTTCCAAAGGACTTTGGCATTATTTAACCTTATCTGTTTTCCCTGATCTTAAGTACAGCACTTAAATTTAATAAATTTGGGGGAAAGGAGATAAAAAGATATACTATATTGCTTTGAGAAAAGGGGAGGGCAATTATTGATTTTATTCAAATTTAAAATGCTCTCAAAGCTTAAGATGTTTAAAATGTTCCTCAAGATCACAATAAATTGACAAAAACTGTAAATTATTCCAAAGACTGTTGTTATTTAATAAAATATTCTCGTTATTATCAATTGTTGATACAAGAGATGAAAATCTATAGAAAAATAAGAGTACTTCTGAATCATTACAAAATGCCAGTATTTGATTTTTATATGATTTTCTTTTTCCTTTGGTTGTGATCAATAAAAATCAACAAAATGTCAACACTGACTAATACTGTAGGTACATTTGATGTATAATTACCACAATTCATGGATATTCCACTACCACCACTGATGGAGTCCCACTTGACAGAACATTATTTTCACCATCACAGATAATAAAAATCAACAGGAGACAAATGATCTTTCACTTATACCCAACAAAATATGTTTGTCCTGCTGTTGAGTATTAAAGTGTCAAGCATAGCCACAAGTTTTTCAGGGAAAAGGCACAATGACAGTGAAAGTTTTCAATCACCAAGTGCCATCTAAAACTGGAAGTAGCACTTACCAGTTTTATTTGCCCTCAAAGGAATTCGAAAGCATAACCATATTTCAACTACAAAAAGTAATACCTGGGATGCATGACTTAACGTCAGGTTTGGAAAACTCAAAGCACATTTGAAGCAGTTTTTAAATCTGCTTTCAAATACAGCTGAGGACTTGAACTGACAAATTTCTAGCAAACAGGATGGTTTCTGACGGTTAAGTTTCATGGAGAGGCACTGCTGACCTGTAGAAGTGCCCATTTCAATGAAGAAGAGTATATGACTCATAGAAAGGAGCATCCTCAATGGACCAGCTAATCCGGGTTCACCCAATTTTCCTTGCCAACTCCTTCAACCATCTGTCAGAATGTCAGTCCAATCTCTACCCAAGGACACTGCTCCAGAAGTTACCAGAGCACAGAATAAGTTTGCTTAAAAGTATAACTCGAGGGAGGTGGCTTATATGCCACCTAAAGAATGACAACTCATTCTGGCACCAATAAAAATCCAAGTAAATATTGTTGAACTGCTGCTACTGATGTAAAAAACCAGCAGAAGTGCCGAGCCACCCGGAAGACAGCCTGACAATGTGCTAAATCCCTGCGTGACACATTACCTTTTAGCACTAGTGGATAACTTAGCAGTGGTTTTGCTAGAGAGTTTGGTGTTCTTCTTCTGCTGGGTGGCAGAAGGCTTTCTTTCTTCTTGTTCTTCAGGCTCTGGAGCGGCTGGGTCTCGCTGGTCTGCATCTGAACTTCCACTGCTGGTGCTGGGGCTCTCATCATCCGACCTCTGCCTCTCACTGGACATCTTGATGAAGTTAGTACTTGGAAAACTTTTAAAAAGAAAAAAAAAGGGGGGAGGGGGGAGAGGAAATGTTAAGTCTAAGAAATAAGCCCATAGCCTTTTCTTCCCTTAACCTTCACCTAAAATCGTATTTTAATGAAAACGCTTCCAAAGTGTTCACAGGATGCCATCGTCCTGCAAGGTTACCGGGGCGGCGATGTGCCCTCACGCCAGCAGCGTTCAGGGGTTCACCCAACTCAAGTTAGAAAACCCACTCGCATTTTTTTCCCCCAGCCCTCGGACAATCTATCAATTGTCTACTTTCTCAGAAGGCAGGAGACAGATCTGCCAGGGAACTTCGGCCACGAGCATTCATAACATATGACACACTGTCAATAACAGATCTCGCTGGGAAAAAAAAAAATGTTAAAAAGTCACTAATAACGTCCAAATATTTACCCACTGACATGGGTCCACGCTCCCAAATTCCCTTTTCCGAGAGGAAAACATACCCCGTTCCTCGCCCATATGCTTATTTAAGGTGGCGATTCCTCCTCGGTGCACGTTAAGCCTTCCAACACCACGCTTAACGAATTTAAAAACCCACTAAAATCCACCCACGAGCTGCTCGAGCCGTCCC